CCCATATTTTCCTAGGTAATTTCGTTCCTGCTTTCGCAATATATGAACAAAGACCGAAGAAGTAGCTACTGGTCCCACTGCAAGCCGTTATCTTGCTCCTAGCACTGCCTTAATCTTCGTATTGTGTACGCACACAGCGATCTTCTGCGCAAAACTGTGATTTCCGTAATGAACAAGCGAAGTGCTAGCATCAAAATCGCCCCACTTTGTTGGATCACGCCAGGGTTACTGTTCCGTCCACTGCATTACGAGCTGCAGTGTCCTTTCCCAAAATGTCGAGAACCGTTGTCTACCTTGACCAATCTTCGTATTCATATCAACAACAAGCATCGAAGCGAGACGTCTTATTCATCTGCGTAAGTTTTGTATTCCTTTTAGGTTTTAGACTGTCTTATACTTGTATAAGGATTTCAGAGGCAGTGGGCATGATTGCGGGGGGGGGGGGTGTTGACAGCGTCACCGGTGGAAGAACTGTGACAGGGCGTTTGGTCAAGCCCATTCAGCCCTTCCACCAGTGACGTTGGCGACCCTCAGTCATCGTGCTCATGTACTTGACAGCAGCAATTTCTAGCTTTTCGGTCATTTGACATTTTTTTTGGATTCTATATAATCGTGGGACTTTGTCTCCAAGAAAGTAGCGTTAGTACTGGTAATTTGAATATGTTTAGCACCTGTATGTTCCGTTTCTGCTCTCCGTTTGCCAAATCGAAACATGACGGACAGCACTCAACTTATGAGAGGTTAGCTTTTACCATTTTTCTGATGTAATGGTGTTAGTTGCGATTGTTTTATTGATCCGCAGTGTTTCGTAGTACATGCACTACGTTCTTCGCTAAGGCACTGGGGCGTTTGAGGGGCTGGCTTTGACACGGCGCCAGATCGTTCTCCACCAGTTGTGGTCGCCTGCCAGGTTCCACAATCGGTGGAGAAGAGGTCGGCGCCGCGTCAAACCCAGCCCCTTCCCTTGAAATGCCTCATTGTCCGCAGCGTACGAAGATTACATTCTGTCAGGGGTTACATAGTGCTCTGGGTTGCAAGGGTAGTCGCAACTGTCGATAGTAATGACCTGCGTGCTTCTTGACATAAAATTTTCTGTTTATTTCCGTTTAAAATGTTTATTGTAGTGTGAATGGTGTGGAAGGCACCTGCTGTCCGTTATGTGGCACTCTGAATCAGTGGAACATTCAGGTTTGTGTGTTTTGTTTTACTGTTTTCATGTTCACCTTGCGCCATGCATTTGACAATTGTTCGGAGCGCTGGTCGATTGGAACGGGTTTTGGCTTGCATAATCCCTTGTTGGCTGTATGCTGACCTTCTTTGATTATGGGAGTTTAGGAAAGTCTGAAGTTATTACTTACTCGTTACATCGCGCGTAAACTTGCTCAGTATTTTGTACGCTACTTGAAACGACGCAGCCTGCCACGTTGAATCGCTTAGGTCCCAGCACAAATGACACGCCCGTGCCCGCCCGCTTGCAACATTTTTTCACTCTGCTTAAAAGCATAGGATGAGCCACTTGGTCTTGGTACGTAGTGGCGGCTGTATCTATACAATTACTGTCACTAAAACTAATCCTGCTTCTCTCGCTATAAGCAGCCAGTGCGCGAATTGTTGTTTGAGTCCCCTGATGAGCATGGAAGGATTACTCAACGATTGCTCGGCTATAAATGCCTAATTTCATTGCTTACAGATGCCTGGCACTTCGTATACAATGAGCCATATCGCTGTTCACGGACTTCGTCGGTACCATATGTGCCGTGATTGTTTCGTCTGCTTCAAAGGCGATTATGATGTAGGCTTTTGTATACTTGTTTCGTCTGCTTCAAAGGCGATTATGATGTAGGCTTTTGTATACTTTCTGCGCCTTTACCCCCATTGTTTTTTTTTTGTTTCGCAGCCGAAGTAATCTTGATAAGCCGTGATAATTTGTGCTAAATATTTGAAGTTTAAAATTGAATTTCAGTGTGTTCGTATGAAGACACATTTCGAAACTACGCATTGCACACCGATACCAAGGACAAACAATCGGGAATTATTGTGCAAGCTATGCAGGGAAGTGATTTTGAAGTCACATCTTGCTGAACACGTCATTGAGAAGCATTTGGTGAGTGGACTGATTTCTTTTTCGTTATTATTTTAGATTAATTGCTTCATTTATTTCTTTTGCCACTATTCGAACATTGGCTGAACAGCCGTAGCTGGGTAACATTCTTTTCGATCGTTCGGCTAGGTCTTTCGGGGACGGACAGAACAGTCGTAATTTATCGCATCGTCACGCGCCGCGTAGCATGCGGCTATGTGCGGCAGATTTGCGGTGCCCGCCATATCTGTGATTGCAAACTTGTATGAGTTCAAGTAGAAGCAAGAATCCATGACGAGCGATATCGAATTTCCCGTCCCGTAAAGGCACGATAATTTGGTACTTCGTCTAAAATAGTGGCAGGGCTGCTATATAGTGGAAAAATGGCGAAAAAGCGAAGGGAAGTGAAACAAAGAGAAAAAAAAGGGAAACATTCGAAAACCTGTAAAAAGTCTTTGTTCCACATGACATGGAAAGCAGTTTCGAACGAGTTCCCCGGTAGGATCCTGCCAATAACCGCCACAGTGTATACGGGTGCATATATCCATGCAGCATTGCACCCGCTACAATTAATCCCTTTGATTCATGCTGTACTTCGCAAATGAAGCGATACGAGCATTAGGATCGGTCGGACATTTGCGAGCGGGTGGGCATGCTGGGCGTTCGGATTGGTACGTTGTAGCCTAATAGGGCGCTTGATAGGGGTACCTCCCTTGTAAACGGCGGCACGCGGTGACCGCTCAGGGGCGCCGAAATCATAACCTCGACCTCTTGCCTGTCCCGTGCCTCTGTGATAACATATACATTTTAGGTGACTGGCTTCAAATCACGAGATCCGAAAAACCAAGGGAAGTTAATCGTGAAGACGGGCGCAGTGACGCGGCGATTCCTCGGATTTGAGCGCATCTATCACGTTGGTGATGATTCCGATATGGATTGATTTTCTGTTTTGTACCGGTTCCATATCATTTAGAATTTATTGTGAAGTGCACTGTTAGGTTCCACGTTATCCTTGTTGTTACATTGTTTGCGAAATCGCTACCGTAGCAGGTATTTACCCCCTCTGAACCGTCCACCTGTACGTTATAGTCTGTTATTTGTTGTAGTTGTGTGGAGCTGTACCTAAGCTCGGAGAACTGGCCGTCGACCCATGCGAGTCATCTGTATCGATTGTTACCCGGCGTTAGGGGCAGAGGGAGGGTGCCTGGTGCCGCAGGACTGTCCAAGACTGCCAGTAGATGATGGCCTGGCTGACGCTGGTCGTGGAGCGTAGGTACAGTCCGAACCAATGATCGTCAGCAGCGGTTATAGGTCCACGAGTAACTTACTGCATTACTCTTTTAGGAGACGGTGATTTTTGTTGTTATCCAAGTGTTTATTTGAAATATTAATGTTTAAAAAATTAGTTGTGAATCATCGAAGGTGACGGACGTATAGACCTGCGAGACGTTGCCTAAGGTGTTGTAGTGCTTAACGTGGTTGTTAAGTGATTGTTTCACTGATATCATCTTCATCATTGATAATCTCTCTCTTTTATGTGTATTCATTCATTCATTTTGTACTATTATATATGTAATCACACAGCCATTTCTAAAGTAACATTGACGGGTGTTGAATCAATGTTTTCTTTTATATTTTTGTTTAATGCTGACAGCAGAGAAGTAAATTTGCTAAGAAATTGTTTTACATGTAGAAGTAGTGGGTGCCGCAGTGGGTGACGAAACTGTGGGATTGCCATAGTTAGTTTTCCCCTGTTCAAGGTGGGCAGGTCTCAGCTGCAGAAGTGGGGCGCTTAAGCCAGTTGAAAATGTGTGACAAGAAACTTAGAGGTTTTTAGTGTCGCTGAGGCTCCGCCCACAATTCTAGTGGTGTTGCCAGTCACGGCACCGCAGTACGAGTATACTAAGGAGGATGCAGAAGATGGACAGTGCGGACTGCAAGGGAGGCCGATGAAGCCCCTAGCACGCCGCACGCGCTGAGTTGCTCAGGAACCTCATCCAGGTCTGATGGACAGCACCCTTTTTCGGAAGATCGATATCGATCAGAGCAACGATTTGTTTCGAATCCGACAGGAATCGATTCCGGAAAAGCCACCGGAAGGTCGACAATCCGTCCTGGGCTGCATTTTTGTGCAAAAATCAGCAAAAACTTCAATTTTGGCAAAAGATCTGGCAAACCGGGCCGAACCAGGATCCCTCGCGTGAGACTGCCCCTGCGTCGTTCTGAGCCATTTCTCTCCAACCCTGCCGGCTAAGACACCCATTCGGGTCAGACTGTGGACGAATGTAACGTCCCACTAAATAGGCCGCTACTCGGAATAACTGAGAACGGAGTTTCTACTGTAGGGTCGGATTTGGACATTGAGATCTGAGACCATGAGGATCTTCATGACTGTTTCACCAAGAGGTTGCACTTCATTGGAAATACTTCGAAGTCAGCCAGTGCCGGGATGGGACGAAGTGTGGCTAACAGAGGTTCGGGTACAGTCCATCCCTCCTCTTTAGAACAGAAGTCGCGGACGGCGAGTGGCAGATTCCGAAACACCAGATCAAGATCATCGCTATCATTTATCAATTTGTGTTCTCTTCATTAACACGTTGACGACGAGCCATTTTTCCCATGACTTGCGCCTGGGACGGCACATTTTCTACATTGAAACTTGGTAATTTCCAAATAAATGAATTACCACGACCAAAATCTATCGAGAAATGCAAGAGACGAGTATAGCAATCTCGAGAATCTGACACAATTCAGCTCTTATTGCTCCAATCTTCCGAAATCAGGCCATTTTTTTTACCAAATTCTTCCTATAAAGACAGAATTGACTGAAAATTTGTCTCCCGGGGTGGTTCGATCTCCTAAAGAACAATATCGCATCCCTCGACCCGAAAATGTTTGTTCTTGAAATTAATTTTATGAAAAGAAAGTGAAACAATCGAGCAGATCTTGAGTTATATAATAACTGTGGGACAGCATTGGGCGACGCCGTTCCACAAGACAAACTTTCTGTCGTTCCAGCCATTGACGGAAAATCGTCGTCAACGCGTTAAGTGGACATGATATTTTTGTTGAGGGGGTCGGTTCACCGGTAGGACAAGTTTTCAGGGAATTTGATGATCTATAGGACATTTTGGCGCGGGCGCTAGGCAGTTTTGTGGCAAGCGATTGTGATATTTGTGTTCAGGGGTCAAGCTAACCCACGAGACAAGTTTTTCAACGATTTTGGTGACCTGAAGTATTTTGGCGCCGAGCATTTTCGCGGGAAACGAATGTGATATTCGTGTTCAGGCGTTCAAGCTACCCCACGAAACAAGTTTTTCAGCGCTTTTGGTGACCTAAGGTACTTTGGCGCCGGCGCCTGTGGCGCGGGCGCCGGGCAGTCCGGGTCAAACCACTGTGCTGTTCGTTTCAGAATTTCAGCCTACTCCTATAGACATCTTTTGAACAAATTTGGTTGCTCGCACGTCTTTATTATTAGAGCAGTATGCTGTCGGACAGCATTGTCCGACACCGTCGTCAACGTGTTAAAGGTCGCGTACAACCTGCCATAGGTACGGTTCAGCTTGTGGATGGGCCCACTCGGCGACGCACTTCGATTGAAATCCGCCCCAGGTGCGGGTGTTGTTCGGAGACGCGTTTGCCACCGAATCACCGCACTTGGTTTTTGAAGGCTGGCTGGACTTGATCGACAGGGCAAAGCCGAGGTCTGCAAAGTTCCGCAGCATCGTTTCAGGGCTATCCTGCGCAGGATGTGTCCGAGACGAGTCGTGGAGGTGGCGAAACTGCGGAACATATTTCCGCAGTGGTAAAAGAAGTGGCGGGTCGATTCACTGCATTACCACAGAAAGCCTCCGTCTAACCGCTCATGGTGTTCGGTTGGGTCCGGACGGGGTTAATTTTGAGATCGATCCTCTCCTGGAGGGTCGATATCGATCACAGAAGCGATTAGTGCCACGGTTTCGACAGAATCGACGCCAGAAAAGCCACCGGAAGGTCGACAATCCGTCCTGGGCTGCAATTTTGTGCGAAAATCAGCAAAAACTTCAATTTTGGCAAAATATCTGGCAAACCGGGCCGAACCAGGATCCCTCGCGTGAGACTGCCCCTGCGTCGTTCTGAGCCATTTCTCTCCCAACCCTGCCGGCTAAGACTTCCATTCGGGTCAGACTGTGGACAGTCATCGCCGGCACGATCTAGGCGTGAAGCGTCCCCGATGGAAGCCGCTACCAGGAATACGCTGAGAACGGAGTTAGTACTGTAGGGTCCGGACGAGGTGCATTTTGAAGGCATTGAGATCTGGAACGCATGAGGATCTCTCCATGACTGTTTCACCAAGAGGTTGCACTTCATTGGAAATACTTCAAAGTCAGCCAGTGCCGGAATGGGACGAAGTGTGACTAACAGAGGTTCGAGTACAGTCCATCCTCCTTTGGGTAGGCAAATTCCGAAACACAGTGATCAAGATCACTCGTATGCATTTATCATTTGTGCTCTCTTCATTAAAGATCGCGTACAACCTGCCATAGGTACGGCACTGCTGTGGATGGGCCCACTCGGCGACGCACTTCGATTGAAATCCGCCCCAGGTGCGGGCGTTGTTCGGAGACGCGTTTGCGACCGAATCACCGCACTTGGTTGAGCTGCTGGGACGCGACGACCCGAGGGCAAAAGCCGAGGGTCTGGCTAAGTTTCCGCAGCATCGTCTTCACGGGCTGTTCCTGGCGGCGGGATGTGTCCGAGACGAGTGCGTGGAGGTGGAGAAACTGGAACACTTTTTCGCGCAGTGGTGTGCGGCTCGACTCACTGCAATTACAGCAGAAACGGCTCCGTCTGACCTGCTCATCGGTGGTCGTTGGGTCGCGAAGGGGATTAATTTTGAGATCGATCCTCTCCTGGAAGGGTCGATATCGATCACAGAAGCGATTAGAGCGATGGTTTCGACAGGATCGACGCCAGAAAAGCCACCGGAAGGTGAAGCATGAACAATCACCTTAATCACTTATCATTTTTTTCTCCTATGTAATGATTTGCCGCATGCAACCTGTCACAGGTACGTTTCAGCTGTGGAGGGGCCCACTCAGTGATGCGTTTTGATCGAATTTTCCGCGTCAGGTGCGGGCGTTGTTCGGTGACGCATTTGCTACCGAATCACCGCACTTGGACGAGCTGCTGGGACGCGATGAGGGTTCCAAGATCCGTAAGGTTCCGCAGACGCATTCTCAGGGCTATCGGGAGCTGTTTGGGCTTCGAGATGTGTCCGAGATGCGCGGCCAAGCCCGGAAGGCTGGGAGGTGCGCCCTATTCGGCAGCATGGCCCCAAGGATCGGCCTTGCGCCGAGTCGTAGGATTTTTGGGTAGTTCTCTCTGCCAACAACGCGAGGGTTGGTTGGGCCTGAGGGAGCACCGATCTCCTTGGAGGATCGATCACAACAACGATTCCTGCTCCGAAATGGACAAAATCGATGACAAAAAGGCCACCGAACGATCGACAATCCGTCCTGGCCGGTCTTTTTTTGCAAAAATTGGCCGAAATTGCAGTTTTGGCAAAAGATGTGCCAAACCGGCTCGAACCAGGATCCCTCGGGTGAGACCAGCCCCACGCCGCCCTGAGCCATCTCTCTCCACAACAGGAAGGGTTTCGAAGTGTGTAACGAACCTTACACATCGCATACGCAATGATGAGCCAGAGACCCATGGTTTCCGAGGTTTTCGATGATCAAACGGTCACCCTGCCGGCCGGCCGAGTCACTCATCACGTTCGACCGTGGACAACCACCTTCGACAACCAGATAAACTCCGCAGCTGTCTTCGACGTTGGATAACACGACAGCGACCCTCTTGCTGATCGATTCTCCGTCGGACTCTGGTCTTCCTGTCGGTCTTTCACGTGGCCTAGCCTTATTGAAATCGATCTAACTTGACAGTCGGGTGCTTTATTTT